ATGATATTATGGAGGTGACTTTTTCCCTCACCATAATCTTTTAGAGATTCATTCTGGTTGTTATGTGTATCAGTAGTTTTTTCTTTGGTGCTGATTAGTAGTGCTTTTTGTTGCCTTGAGTCTTGTTTTTCTAGTGTTTGGTTATTACAAATGAAGTTGTTATAAATATTAGTATGTAGGTTTTTTTGTGTGAGCATAATTTTTTTCCTCTGGAATAAGTGCTCAGAAGTGAAATTGTTGGGTCATAAGAAACTACTACCCTGTTTTCAAGAGTGCTATATCACTTTGCGTTCCCATCAGCATTGTTTGAAGGATCTAATTTCTCCTTATTCTTGCAGTTATTTGTGTATGTTTTGTTTTACTGTTCTAATAGGTATGTAGTGAGATCTTATTGTGATTTTAATTAGCACTTCTTAGATCATTAGTGATCAAAATTTTTGTGTGTGTGTGTGCAATAGCCTTTGAATATTCTGTGCAGTGAGATGTCTTTTGCATATTTTTAATTGGATTTTAAAATTTGTTGAGTTTGGGACCCCTTTATGCACTTAGATTCTAATCCTTTGACAGAAATGTGGTTTATACGTATTTTCTCCTGGTCTGTGGTTTGATTTCTCATCTTAAATAGGATCATTTTTAGAGCAAAAAAAAATTCATTTTGTTGATCAAACTACTAAATTTACAGTTATTCCTTTTGTGAATGGTGGTATTGGTATCAAATCTAAAAACTCTGTTTATCCGTAGATTGTCTGAACTTTTTGCTTAGTTTTTTCCCCCTGAAAACTATACAGTTTTGTTTTTGTTTGTGTCTGTTACCCCTTTGAGTTAATTTTTGTATAAGCTGTGAGAGTTAGTTGAGTTCATTTTTTCCCCTGTTGTTCTCGACGTAGAGAAGATCATTTCTTTAAGGCTTTCATCAAACATAAACATATGCTGCTTTAAACTTTCCTCTCCGAGATGCTGGGGCTATATCTCACAAATTTTGAAAAGTGTGTTTTCATTTTCAGTTAGTTCAATATATATTTGACTTCCTCTTTGCCTCACATATTATTTAAAAGATGTTGTTTAGCTTCCACGTATCTGGAGCTTTTCTGTTATTTTTCTTTTACTGATTTCCAGTTTGATACCGTTGTCATCAGAAATTCTCTGTATTAAAGAAATGTATACATGTGAGACAAGTATATCACACATCATGGAATTTAAAAACACTTCTAGAAGGGGAAAATGAATAAATAAATCATTCAGAGTAGATCAAACATCTTTATAGTAATCAGAAGAAATTAAAATTCCTGAGATAAAGGATCATAAAATACATCAGCTCTGAGTGTCACAGGAGGTATGCCCAGACTTACACATCGCATTTGAAAGTAAGCAGGTGTGCGATTTAAAAGACAAAAGAGATGGGTATGTGAAAAAGAGAAGCTGGAGTTGTGTGCCAAGAGTCATCTTGTGTTTATGCATTGGAGGAGTAAGATAGGGACATAAGTGCAGGTACTAGAGAGAGTGCAGAGATTTGTTGTAGAAGTGGCATTTAGGGGAATAGAGTCCTTTGGCATGTGCTGGAATTAAGTACATAGAAAGGGAAGAAATTTCTACCCTAAAGTGCTTTTGAAGAGAGAGCATAATTTTTATTAGAGTTTTGAGCAGTGGAGATAATAATTAGGTACACAGGAAAGGGTTTTGTTTAACTTATGTAAAATTTTTTGAGGTCTGTAAAGAGAATAAAGAGTATGACTATAAAAATAATTGACATTGAACTTGAAGTGAAAGGAGGATCAGAAAGTAGCATTTTGTTGTTGTTTTTTTGTTTTTATTTTTTTGCTGTACTGGGGTTTGAAGTCAAGGCTTCACAATTGCTGGTAAGTGCTCTACCTATTGAACCACATCCCCAGCCTTTTTTGCTTCTATAATTCTGGAGATAGGGTCTCACTGAAATGTGATCCTCTTATTTTATGCTTCCTGCCATCACTGAGATGGCAGGTGCACCACCACATCCAGCTTTTTTTTTTTTTTTGCTGAGATGGGGGTCTCGCTTTTTGTCTGAACTGGACTAGAACCTCTTAAGCTAGGATTGCAGGTGTAAGCCACTGGTGTGAAGTGTAACATAGATTTTTAATCTCCTGTTTGTCAGATGATTTGCTGGTACTTTTATACATATCTTTTTGCCCACAAAAACTGGGTGCAATGATTAAATTACATTTCCTCTGTCTACACAGCATGAAGAAACCGAGGATTAATTTGCCTGAAACTAGCAGTAGTAGGCCATGAAATTTGAATATAGGTTTCACTGATCAAAAAAACAAAGATCTTACTATGGAGGCTCAAATACTTAATAAAAATCTCTTTAAGTGTTTATTAAGTTCACAATCAGAAGTTTAAGACCTGGAAAAAATGTTGGCTTCTTAAAATGGTTAAAGATGTTATACTAGCACTTGAGGTATATGATTAGTTCTCTGGTAATTGCCTCCATTGTTGAAGCTCTCCCTTGAAAAAGGACAAAGTGCAGATTTGCCCAAAAACATGACTAAGGAAACATGCCTATGGCATAGAGTCCTGTAAACACCCATCTCTGCCTCGTTTCTCTTGAAAATCCCCACGCTTTCCAGGCTTCCCAGTACGGCTTCAGTCTCCTCTCTGGATGCTTGGGGCAGAAGAAAGATTTCTGCTTTTGCAGTATTTCAGATTTTGGGAAGACTTCACTAGTTGAGTATCCATAATCTGAAAATATGTAATCTTAAATGCTTCAAAATAAAAAGTGACCAGATTTCAGAGCATTTTGGATTGCAGGATTGAGATGTGCTTCTTCAAGCAGTCTTCTTTTTTCATCTGTTACCAGTATTGTAGAAGAATACAGGTATTTCTTCTTCAATTTGTGTAGATAAAAGAAACATCATAATTTTTGCCTTTGATCTTCCATCTTCCCGTCATTGGAAGTTATATTATGAGACCCAGACAACTTGTCTACTAACATTGGAAGTACACCCTCATTCTATCAATTTTTGCTTCCTGAATCATAAGGCACATACATATGTATGATTATTATGCCTTATTATTTCATAATAAACTAAAGGAGGCATAGGGTAATATTTACTCATTATAAGAGTATCTCTAGGCATGATTTGGTCTACAGATAACCAAATTTAATTGTGTGTGTGTGTGTGTGTCTGTATGTGTGTTTGTATGTAAAGAACCAAGGAAACATTGGTTCTCTTGGTTGCAGTCCTGCCATATTCAGGTGGAATTTAACTTAGTTTTTACTCCCCTCTCTGCCTTTCACTTTGATGTAAATACTCCTCACTGAAAACACATACGTATTTTGTTATTGATCACATACTTGGGAAGAATCTCTTAGTGTTGACTCTTTCAGGGCTGTGGTAGGTCACAGGGGTATAAGGTGATTAGGACTTCATCCCTGTCCTGGTGGAGATAGCTGTCTACCCTGAAGAGATGGACATGTGGGGAGATTTTTATAATATAATCTAACTGTTAACAGAGAAGGACACAGAGTACCACCCTACAGAGGAAAGAGAAGGGAAAAATCACAGAGGACAACGAAAGTGGAACATAAGAATTGACTTCTGTTTTATATGAGGAAATTGAAATCTTGAAAGATTGTGACTTAGCCAGGACACATGCTGAGCGAGTGATAGTGTATGCACTAGCCAAAATATTACTTTAAAGTTCTCTGCTGTTTTTAATCCCCCACATTAACTTTACATAGCACCTGAGCATACGTTAAAGAATGCTAGGGATGGGCCACATGCTAAATGTGACCAACACAGTATCTTACAGGTCCACCTGAGTGCCTAGATGATACCTTTCAATTTAGACATGATGTGTCACATATTTTGGGGTGTGAGAATGGATAGGATATATTTATTAGAGGGTCTGTTCATGAAAATAGTGGCAGGCTGGTGATCATTGTTAAAGATCAGTACATTAAATTGACTTTTTACTTATTTGGGATTATGGACTATGTTCCCCTTTACCCATAACCTCTAAAAGTACCAGAAGAGCAGAGCTGTACCTTTATTTTCTCATCACATCCTCTCTCTCAAAGATAATACTTTCACTGTTCTCTATCCAACTTAGCTTTAAGTCATTCTGTGGTTCTAGCTGTTGAGCAGTCTTTCAAGTTAAGTGTTTAATATTCTGTTCAAGTGGAAATTGTTGTGAGGCTGGCATTCTCACCCACGATAGCTAAGGTAGTTTTGCTAGATCCATTATTGGGGTCATGTCAGGCATATAACATTTGAATTTCACAAAACTTCCCCGATACTTGATATTCGTAGGAAATTGAATCTAAAACTGCACTCATACTTCCGAGGCTGGAGGAACCAATAGTCAGTCAAGTTCTATAAAGGCGGGTTTATGCTTTGGTGTTTTGGTCTTAAAAGAAAACTTTTTTTCCTATTTCTGTCTTACCTAACTAAATTGTGCTATAGTGTTAACAAATTCAAAGGAAATGTCTTAATTAGTTTGCATCATACTTTGGAATGAATGATCAGCTGTTGTGTGTAAAGGTATGAACCTCTTACCATTTGAGTAGTTCATTTCGGGGGGAAGGAGAGAAAGAGAGAGAGAGAGAGAGAGATGTTACTTATGTTTTACCTAAGTGCAAATTTCTTTGAAAGATGAGAAGTCATTAAAAGATTTCCACCAATTTATGCTATTTACCACTTGAAATTTGTAACCCTTTAAAAATACTCTTTTAAAAATGCTGTTTTAAAATAATGGTACACTTTTTCCAAAACTTTGCCTCTTTTTGTGGTCTTCATTGCTTAGAATTTTAATTTTTAGAATAGCATGTATTTAGAGATCACATTTACTGTTGACTTTGACAGACATGGCAGGAGGCCAGTGCTGTGAGTTCCAAGGGAGAACTTACAGAGCAGGCAAGTTGAAGGAGTCCCGCTCTGCACAGAACCCAGGCTCTTGTGTTGACTCCTGCTGAATGGAGCTTGATAGAGTTGACTGATCCAGTCTGTACTTGTCTCTCACAGCTGGAGACAGTTGGGTGGCAGCTTAACCTTCAGATGGCTCACTCCACTCAAGCAAAACTCAAGTCTCCTCAAGCTGTGTTACAACTTGGAGTGAGCAACGAAGATTCAAAGGTAAGAGAGATGGCATCTCATGGAAAAGATGAATTTCACACATTAGCGATAAAGTGGGTTTAACACTTAAGCATGAGTCTGTTAAATAAGGATTCATAAATTGATACATATTTATTTATGACAGGTTTTACTATAAGATTTTTAAATATCACTGTTATGTATTTATCTGAAGAAATAGCTTACCTTGCAAGGTACCATTCTTATAAGAACATTTTGTAATGTTTTCTTTTAAATTCTGCAAAGAAACATTTGGTGGAGACTGCATAAAATTGATATTTTAATGTTGAGATATTTGTGGAGAATTCTGAGTGTTTTGTGTCTTAAGCTGCATGCATATGGTAGAAGAATGACTATTGTTTATTGTTCAGCCAATGCCTGGAATATGATGATGATCTGAATTATTGTTAGGTTTTTGTGTGTGTGTGTGTGTGTGTGTGTGTGTGTAGATCCTAGCTCTTGCAAGGTAGAATTTTAGATTAATTTTACGTCATTAATTTTATGGTGATTTCTCCTCAACATTTTTAGAATAACCTGAATATGATTATCACAGATCAAAGAGTTGCTATGCAATAGTTTTTCTTACTATGACATATATAGAAATACATTTCAGATATAATGAGAACTATCTGTCATATTTTATATTGTAATTGGTTATTATTTTTAGGGAGAATGATTCCCCCTCCCCAAATAGATGAGACTTTATGTCTCATTTTGAGACAAATTCCCAAACAGACTTGGGAATATAGCACAGGGTTAGGATCTGAAGAGGGACTGCAGAGGCCAAGTGTGATCTGAGCACACTGTGTTCATCATGTAGGTGCTGGAAAACGGAAACCCCACTTCCTAGGGGCACGGTCACAATTAGTTATCACATCATGGACACTTCTGTTGTTTTTTAAGAACTGGAACCACTTGTTAGCTTAAATTACATGACGATACAACTTTATGCAATTCTTGTGTTATATATAATTTATTAGTTTAGTACAGTGTTTAAAAAAATCATTTTGTTTCACACCTTTTCACTGGAAAATAATACAAACTTAGTGGCTAAGTGTCAGACTGACAGATACATTATGTGCTCTGCAGCTTAGTAGTGGTGTAATCTTGGGCATGGAACTTAATCTTTGTAAGTCTCAGTTTCTTCATTTGTAACATGGCGATAACAATATCTATCATGCAGAATTTTTGTGAAGATTAAATACCTAGTGTGTGCAGTGCTTAGTCCAATGCCTGCAATTGTGCTGGATGCTCTCGAATGGATAGCTGCTCCTGTCACCGACAGTACAACTTTTGGGGATGAAAGTAAAGAAATCCATTTGTTTTAGGTTAAAATTCTTGCTAAATTTGTTTCCTAATGAAATTATTACCCTTTTATTTTCCTTTCCTTATATTCTTCCCCTTCCTCCCTCTCTCTCTCTCTCTCTATCATATTTTTGGCAGTAATAGGTTTTGAACTCAGGGTTTCGTGCTTTCTAGGTAGGTGCTTCACAGCTTGAGCTGGGTTTCAGTCCATGATCATATTTTTAATATTTATGCTTACTAGAAATTTAGGACAGAAAGGACAACCTGGAAAGGCCCCTTTTCCCCTATGAACTGAGGTAGACTTTCTTTTATGTCTGGGAGAATGATCTAGAACTCACTGGTGTAGTCTGGGACTTACTCTATGAAACAGAGTACATACATACATACATGCATACATACTCCAGGTAGCACCACACCTTCTCTGTTTTATTTCTTATGATTACCTTATGGCATGTCTGAGTAGCTAGAAGTACTGTATAGGTTCACAGAACACTAGTTGGTTTTGTTTTAAGCATCACTTCATTACTTCAGTAATGCTTGACTTTGGAATACTCTAGTCCTCTTAGCTCCTTTATAAAATATGCCTGTGTATCTATCTGTTATATTTTTAGGCAGTAGGAATGAAATGAGTAGTGCTTCTAGTATGACAGCCGTCTTTTAAGTGTTTGTATTATTTAGGAAGTTGAAGCAAATGTGAAATCCAACTCATTTGAGATTGGTGCTTTAGTAGGTTTGTTTTTCCATGTTACTATTTTGAAATCTTTTTTTTTTTTGCTGATGCTGGGGTTTGATCTCAGGGCCTTGTGCTTGCCAGGTAGACATTCTACCACTTGAACCACCCTGCCAACTTGCTGTTTTAAAATCTTGAATGAAAATTATGGTACATGCTCAGTACTTAGCTTTACATGTGCAGAGCTAGAGCACCATTGCCTTGACAGACAGCAGAGCAGCTGTACCCAGATGTAAAGGGTGCATTCTCTTCATCTTGTCTATATGGCCTTCTCTACCCAGTGTCATTGTGTGGAGTTGGTCCCAGTTGCTAATATCTCCTAAACAATAGACACACAATGAAGTATAAAGCCACTATCAACCTGGAGAGAAAAATGCCATGTCCACATCTGCTGTGTGCTTGTCTCCAAGGAGCAACTGACCTGCTTTCCTCAGTGAACTGCAACCTGGAATGGTAGCTCTTGCTTGTGTTTACACTCTCCTGTTTTTATCACCTTTTCTTGCTCTTCCTTCATTTGGATATTTGATGTTAGTTTTGGTATAACTCCTGTTTCAAGACCACAGACCACTTTTCTTCTAAGTATTTGCTTTGTTATAAAATGAGAATCAAAAATTATTGACATGTTGGAATACGAAGTAAAAGGAACAAGGGTCTGGAGTGTGTCTTGAAGACTAAGCTTGCTAAAGAACAGGAGAGCTTTTCTTAAAAGGAAGATTGGAGGTTATGACTAATTCGTGATGCAGAGTGCCATAAAGTACAAAGTTGTCATATTAGGAAGTTGGTGTTTGTCTAAAATTCTTTTTGACTATGTATTTTATAAAGTGGTCATCTTGGAAGACACATATGTTGAAATACTATGGGAGGACTGGAGGCTTCATAGCTTGTGTGAACTGTGACAGTATCTGTGGGGTGGACTCTGAGATGCTGGATTGTCACTCACCTCATGCTGTTGCCAGGGAGTCTATCACTTCCAGCGTGCTCATGGAAAATGGGGCCTGTGCTGAGGCTCTAATTTGCTATCACATAGATTACATTGTTTGCCTGTAGTATCTTTTCTCTTAGGACATTTGTGTCTCAAGGCTTTCCTGTTTTGCTACTAATTTTATCATAAAACTGGGTGACTAGCTTTTCTACACTGTTTTGATATATATTCTAGCTGTTCTCAGTTCATTGTCTTAGTGTTTATCTACTGCATTTCACAGAAGTAAGGTTATTTTCCTGTCCTCAACTAGTTCAAAATGAGTTTTCTGAGTTTTTTTGGTTTATTTCATTAGGGGGCAGTAGAGTGCTTTGCTTACCTAACCATTTCTGGCATACACAGTGTTATTTGAAATAACAATCAAAATAATTTGTAAAGTCAGTAGTTATGGGAAATGCTAAGTATTTACATTTCTAATCTGTATGTAACAATAGAGTTCTCTTGTTTCCATCAACAAAATTAATGCCTATTAATCAGATTCGTATAGAACAAGAAATGAAATCATCATGAGTCAGCTTTTGTTAATTTGTATGTGATCATTGCCAAAATGAAATTTATTAAATAGCCTTCTGTTGACTTAAGTTACATCCTGTCACTTACATTAATTTTTTATGAGAAAAGAGAATAAAATAATCCTTAAGATTGTTGAATGACTCTATTAGGTTATATTTTAACTATCTCCACGTTAATTATAGCCAGTAGAAAATTTTTTATTTATGGAGTACAGAAATGTCACGTGCAACTAATGTTGGTAATTGTGAGTGTTATCAGTGTTTTAACTTTGAATATCCTAAAAACATGGGGGCCAGGCCCAGGATCCTACCTGGTCGGAAAGTGGAGATTGGGAGGTTTATGGTTCATGGCCAGCCTTGGCAAAAAGTTAGTAAGATCCCATCTAATAAGTAAGTTGGGTGTGATATTTCACTTCTGTAATGTCAGCTATGGGGGAGGCACATAGCTCCTCAGAAGGACTGAGGTTGCAGGTTGGCCCAACAAAAAGCAAGACCCTATCAAAAATAATAACCTAAAGCAAAAAGAGCTAGGGGTGTGGCTTCAGGGGTAGAGAGGTTGCCTAGCAAGTATAAGGCCCAGAACTCAAACCACAGTACTGAAAACAAAACAAAACAAAACCAAAATGTATATATCCTAAAACACTAACATTTGCTGTTTATCTTACTATATTTTTTCCTGTCAGTTTGCTATTCAATATAATCATAATTTTGTTTAATTAAGAATGAAATTTCTTTTGTACATTCTTTAAGAAAGAATCCTATGGTTATGATGTACAACCTGATGTTTTGATATAAATATACAAAACGAAATAATCCTACAGTTAAGTGAATTAACTATCCTTTACCCTCCGTTGTTGCCTTTTTTGTGTATTTGGCAAAAGCACAGTTTTAGTGTACAGTAGAATATCAACTGCAAGTCTCCTGCTGTACATTGACCCTCTAGACTTACCTGTCCTACCTGACTGTGAGTTTGCACTCTGACCTCTTCCTTCTGTTTCTCCCTGCTGCCCTGCAACCCACTGTTCTCCTCTTGCTTTCCTTGTATAGGGCTTTTGAGGGGGATGGGGAGCAACTGGGATGAAATAACCTTGACAGTTGTTTCTTTTATTTCTTTTTCACCTGGATCATTATTTGTGTAAAAATGCAACTGGTTTTTATGTGTTGATTTTGTATCCTGCTACTGAGTTTTTTAATTAGTTTTAAGTTTTTGTGAGTTTTTAGGGTTTTGAACATACAGGATCATGTCATGTGCAAACAGGGATAATTTTATCATCCTTTCCAATTTGGATGTTGTTTCTTTTCTTGGTGATTCTTTATGTTTGTATTTCCAGTACTCAGTTAGGTAGAAAAGATAAAGTATCCTTTCCTCCCTTCTACTGATGTCGTGTTTGGTCAGTTCTTGCTTTTTTCTAAGACCTGCAGATGCATCATAACTTACTTACTTGAGACCTCTCTGATCTTTTTAAATGTATACACT